GAAGCTCTCTCGCATTTGCACGGGGAGTGCACTCAGAATGTTCGGCGTTAACATGAGAGAGAGAGAATCGTAATTTTTTCCCAAGGAGATGAGGGCCTTGACGTTCTGGGACAACGCGCTGACGAAACTAATGAACTTATCATGTACGTGAAGATCCCTGGTGAGTACGAGTCTCTGAAGCTGCTGGACATGCTCCTTTTCGGCATCTTTGGCTGAACCAAACTTCGCCGCTATCGCGTCCATCGCGACTTGGTACTGGTCTGCTGTGAACTCAAGGTGCGCGATCTCTGCTGCTGCTCTGCCTTCCAACGACTGCTTCAGTAATGAATACTTCTCGACTGGATCGATGGCCTTCTTGTGAACATGAGCATCGAACATTTGCCACCACTCGCGGAACTTCTTGTAATCGCCGGAGAACTTCGGAACTTTGAAGTATTTCATCATCGGGTTGTGGGATGCTGTGCTGGACACTGACTGTACCGGAGGCGCTGACGCGCCTGATATTGAGGCCACTTCCTTCTTTGATCTGACGCGCTTGATTTCATGGAAGAGTCGATAGTATTCGTCTTCGTATTTGAACACTCGCTCCATAGCGTCATCGAACTGTGCAGGAGAACACGTGAGCAGGAGCGGGTTGATGATTTCGTCCTCCTTCTTAATCTGTTCGTAGACTGATTCGATGAGGTCCCACTCCCGATCCACGAGTTCTGCTTTCTCTTCTCTTGTTGCGAGGTGACTCAGGCTCGCCTCCAATTCGTTGATCTTCTTCGTGAACCTTGTGCGAAGCGTTTTTCTATCGCTAACGCGCTCGGTGAATAGTTTGCTGTCAGCCGCCGATGCTGTCGCCTTCGAGCCCGAAGCTGTGGTTTCGCCGGCATCGTCCATGATTCGTTAGAATGACGCTGGACGTCTCGGGAACTGTACACACTGTCACCCCTCTACACGGGTGGTTCAGTAGGTGAAAAACTCTGGAAGCAACCGGTGATCCGAAGGTCGATGACTCTGGATCCAACCGGCGAGAACGGGAAAGATGCTCCGAGGAGTTTTTCGACTTTGTCCTGGGATGCACCGGGCACACTGGATGTCCCAAGAACAATTCCTGGAGAATCCGTTCTCTTTTTCGCTGGACGAGCTGAGTTCTGATTAGCGCTAGCCGAAGTCGGTCCACGTGGGTGTCGATCTGGCCGCTCGCTTTCGTCCGGAAGCTTAGGTTCTTGAAATTCGCTGCCACCAAATGTTGCGATCACCGCCCGGGATACCCTACTCAAAGAAAACTCAGGAGATCTTGGGCACTGGATACCCGGGAGTCGCTTTTTCTGTTGCCTCTGATTCGCACGATGTTCTCGCTTGCGAGGATCGTCGGCAAGTTTCTTCTGGTCGCCGCCGCTACCGCTGCGTCGCAACCGACGACGGGACGTGCAGGGGCTCGACGTTTCGTTCCCATCGCAACAGAAAAGCTTCTCCGCGGGCCTTCATTTATTGATATTACACCCCTCGGATTCAGCTATCTATGGGGATACGCCACAGGAGCGATTGGGATACTGTCTTGCCCTTCGCTACATTCGCATACAACTTGTCGCCACAAAAGTCCACGAAGTTCTCACCGTTCTACTTAGTCCACGGGACAGAGGCTACCAAGACTTTCGACGTAACCCTCCCGCCACCGCCATATACTACCTCGTTTTCGGCGATGGAATACGCTGGAAATCTCCGCTCGCGTCTACGTAGAAGAAGCGAGACAACTGACGCACAACCTCGCGGACAAAGAGGAAGACGCTAGTAAAATCAGATACGACGAGCGGAGGCGAGAGAGCCCATGGAAACCCGGCGACCTAGTTCTGATTAATTTTCCATTGCGCAGAGTTGCGCAATCGGATAAACTCCAAAATCGTTATTTTGGCCCGTTTCAGATCATGTCGCGAAAGGGTCCGGAGACGTTCGAGGTGACCCCCGGCCCCAGCGCCGACCTGCCTCGCCCAAGAGTCATGCTGCAAGACTCAAGCCATTTCGTCCGGCGTTCGACCCGAGCGTCCCTCGACACGACGCAAATCAAGGAGGAACCCCACCTGATCCTCGTCAAGGAAATCAAGCCAACGAAACTAACGAAGAAAATACCGCCCCTCTGAGCAACTACAGTAACTAAGGTGAAGACCTTCCTGCGCGACAATCATACCAAGCAGGGAACACGCGGCGCAGACGGCCTCCTCGTTAGCTGTCAGACTTTATGATTCCTTAGCCTAATTCATTACCCAGTATCGACGAACCGGGTCGGTTCGTTCTTGTCGGGGGACTTGTGAGAGCGTGGCCGAGATTCTGGAGAGAGGAAAACCTCTCTCCAGCACAGCCAGTAACTGTGTCGACATGCAGACGGTAGGAGCAGTTCGCGAACAGAGATAAGCTTGGCGGTCGCTTGACGGCCGAGACCCCGTGATTGCTCGGACAGTAAAATAACTTGTGAAAAGTGAACCGGTGACCTCCTTGTAACCTAACAATATCATTATGGGGCCCTGCCTTATATATTGGACATAGGATCGCTGTCTTTAAACATCTGGGATACGCGGATTCCTCAAGAATCCTCGATAACGAGGAAAGGAATACTTCCGCCAGTACCTCCCTGAGGATGTACAGCATTTTGACAGGAATTCCATCAGATACGGGAGCTTTCCCGACGTCGCAGTTGGCAAGTATATCATAAATAGTTCGGTAGTCGGGTGGGACGAATCTTGAGAAAGTGGCGTTCGACGTTTTCGGGACGACAGAGTCCAAGGCTCTCGGTCCGAATTTTGCGTGAACTAAATTCACACCAATTTCTGCGAAGAACGTGTTGATTTCATTGATCGAGAGACCGCAGACGTCGGGAGAGATGGGGCTTCTGTCCTTGCGGCCCTTTCGGAAGGAGTTGATGATCTTCCTGGTCGATTTGAGGTCCTCAGCTCTCTCCAGCTCCGATCTCAGGAAATTAGATCTAGCCTCCTTTATTTCTCGTCTCAGTCGTTTCACGTTTTCAGATTCTGGCGATCGGTGAGCTTGTACGCTTGCAGGCCCTATGGAGTCTATCTCTAATCCTTATGTTCTTTATCAGTCTCGCAATCATCCAAGGCTTGACGGCAACCATCCGACAGCCGCCGGCTCGAGTCGTCGAGCACGTTTCGATCACCTCCCTGCAGTTCTCGATCAGTATCTCGACGGACTCATTCGCTGTACGTGCTTGGGCTACACGCTGCCGATCAGCATCGAGCGCAGCCTCAGGGATTTTTGAGTAGTCGATAGTTCTCTTCGAACTCACTTCGCTCAGTGATAGCTTGCCCTCGATGGACATATTAATCTGTGTCAGCGAGTGGTCGGTAACATCTTTAAGGTCCAGAAGTTCATGAGTGGTCAGGTTGATCCTGTTCAGGTTGTGAAAAGCATCATCAATGAGGGAAGAGCTCGAGGCAGTGACTCTGGTCGCGACAGTACTGTTGAAGGGAACGAATCCGCGGTCTGCAAGAGTGTCAAGGTAATCACGAACAACGGTCGTGTTTTCGAAGAGGTTGATGTTCAGGTCACCGAGCAGGAGACATTCATACTTGCGAGGTACATATTTCAGGATTCTTTCGAGACTGTGGGAGACGAATCTGTCACATCTCGATATACTCTCAGACGGGGATCTGTATATTCCCGCCAGACGGAGGGAACTGCTTGCTTCAACTCGAATCTCAACCACGCAGCAGTCACAGTCCGTTATGTCGTCGTTGGCAATTTGATGAGCTACCAGGTTCCGACGGAACTTTCTCTGATGCCTCGGGGGCGGTTGGGACGAGCGATGACTGCATCGGCTGGCTGAAGTCAGAAGACACTTGCGAGATGATTTGATGTCTCACTGGGCCAACACAGGTTGTATGGTCGTTCTGATGAATATTGTCCGCTTCACCTTCCGCTCTAGATACTGACCGGTCACCACTTGACCCGTTCACAGTGTTTTCAGCATGACCCATATTCGGATGCTCTTCTGTGTTCAACCCTTTCCTGTGACTCGCTATATATAAGGACAATAAACCTCAGCCAGCGATGGGGGAGCCCAAGACTGACTCTAGCATTCCGTGTGATCATTCTAGCCGAGGTATCAACGAGATACGAATATCTCTTCACCGTTATCAGCACGAATTGCTCAGAAAGATAAGTGATACCGTGAACCGAAGTGAAGTGTCCATCCACAATGTCCAATCCTTCGACTTCGAGAGAAAACCCCCTCTACGGCTTCGTCCAAGATGGCGAGGACGACGACGGCGGAAACACCCCGGTATACGACAAAGACGAACCAACCTCATGCGGTCCACGACCCAGAGTGGTTAGCAGCATTATCCTGGCTGCTGACGGGAAGAACTACATCGCCTGGAAGACCATAATCCCATCGGTTCTCGACGGCGAACCGTTTGCCTGGGATGTC